CATTAGCACACAGATGCTATTTGAAACTGTGGGGCTGGTCAAATCATACTGAGTGACGTCTAATAGAAATGGGAAGGAAATTCACAGGACTTGACCACTGATCAGAGATTGTGAGTGTGCATCTGTCTGTGTCAGAAGAGAGCTTCACAGAAAGAAAAGTCACAGATGACTTGGAACTTTTTAGCCTAGAAATAATAGAAAATCATGTGATTTTTAACTGATACAGGGAATAGAAGAAGACCAGAGTCCCAGGGAACTAGAGAAACAGAGGGAGGAAGGTGGAATAGAGGAGCTAGTTCAGTTTGGGTTACGCTGAGTTTGAGGTACTAGCAGGTGAACCACAGATGGTGTCTTGCAGACAGTTTAAATTATGAATTTATTTTTAAATTTTTTAAAGATACAAGTGGCCTATTTATAGTTTTCCACTGTCTTTGCAATAGTGAACACTGCTTCAGCTACCTTACCCCTCAATAGGCTTTTGAGTAGATCTGGGAACACAACCACTATTTACAGCAGACTGAAAATATCCCACTTACAAGTTTTAGGGACACAACTCATTTATTAAATGGGCATTGCCTAAATTAGCCAGCATCCACCTGTGAGAAAAAATACTAATTGCCTCCAAATCCATTTCCCCCTTCTTCAATATTAACAGAATTTCAGATGACATATTCTGTCCCAGACATTATGACAGACACTGGAATAATGATGGAGAAGACACAGCCCTCTCAACAATCTTACCCTCCAACCTGGGAAATGATAAATAGTGACTTCCATACGTGCGACATGTGCCATGATAGGTCTAACGGCAGGACACAGCAGGAGCACAGAGGAGCGGCACTTCTCCCAGTCCTTTGTTATAAGCAGCCATCCTAGTGGTAATGTGAAGTTGATACCTGAAGGACAAGAAAAAGTTATACAAAACAAGGGGAAGGAATATACGCAAAGACATGCAGGAGAACATTTGTGGGACTCAAAGTAGTGGTCTAGTCTGACTGGAAATTTAAAAATGGGAGTTATCAGCCATAGTACCCCTCGACAGCTATTCAGCCTTTAAAGTAATTGCTTGACTAAATGCCACTAGGCAACAGTGGCTTTATATCATAATGTAAACAGATGAGCTGATGATGCCTCATTTTTTCAGAGACTAGCTTAACAATGCAGGTAGACAGTTTCACAGGGAAGACAGAAGGAAAGGAAAAGTATAGTCAAGAATAGAGAGGCACACATAATGATTTTTTTTGAGAGCCCGCCCGAATGCTCTAAAAGATCATGAATAAATAATGACTATTTTTCAACATGTGTTAATGTGGTTAACACACCTTTGAAATAAGCCATAAACGCTCTCAAGAGAGCACATCACGTTGGTAACTACCCTGTCACCCAGCCCCTACCTTGCTTCCTCCCACCTCCAAGTCACCTTCCTTATTTCCCCCTGAATTTCAAATGCACAAAGAAGCTGCAACACTGTTCTTCTCAGGAGCATTTGGGATCTGGCTCCCTGACGGCGCACGTCATCAGTTTGGCTCAAATAAACTGTTAAAAATTTTAATATGTTAATGTGTTTCATTAGAGGTGCGTAAGACAAAATACTTACAACTTTAGGTCTGTTAGTCAAACAACAGAAGGAAAGGAGTGCCATTTACTGTTCACGGTTTATCTCAGAAATCAGAGGCATGTACATTTATTTCCCCTATTTTTCCCATATATCTTCCTCTTTCCAATTCCTACTCCTCCTGAAATAAGTCATGTCATTTAATAGTATTTAAGAGATGGTAAAGCAGGAGTGATAAAAACGGCTGCAAGCCCTAGCTGGTTTGGCTCAGTGGTTAGAACGCTGGCCCCAGGGAGTTAAAGGGTCACGGGTTTGATTCCGGCCAAGGGCACGTACCTCGGTTGCAGGCCCGATTCTGCGCCCTGGTTGGGGTGCGCGCGGAGGCAACCAACCGATGTGTTTCTCTCACATCAATGTTTCTTTCTTTCTCCCTTACACTCTCTCTGAAAAGCAATGGAAAAAGTATCCTCAGGTGAGGATTTAAAAAAAAAAAAAAATGATTGCAAGGCTTAGGATTCAGAAGGTTCCAACTCAGGCCCATATTTGGCAACGATAATAAAATAATAATTTGGCAATGGTCACAAGAACGTTTCTTAAAAAAACAAATTAAAACCAAAAGTGAGACATGCATTTGGGGTGGGGACGCAGTTTCTTTTTTCATTTTTAGGATTAAAAGAGAGAAATCCTGACGATAGAGTTTAGGGTGACTGATGGTTTAGAAAGCACAGATGAGACAAGCATTAAGTCTCGGAAAGTAATAACAAGGCCTACTTTATCAAATGTAAACCGAATTCGCAGCCCTGTGAACACGTTTTGACTTTGTGAATTCACTGCCCTGCTGGGGGCCTGGGAGCAGGGGGGTTGGCGCCGGGCACCGCCTGCCGGAGGAGCCTTGCCCGGCCGCTGCCTGCCAGCCAGGGAGGCCCCAAATCAGTCTCCCTGACTCAGTTTTCTTTTTTTTTTTAATACTGTTTTTTTTAAAATATGTGTATCTTTATTGATTTCAGAGAGAGGAAAGGAGAGGGGGAGAGAGAGAGAAACATCAAGGAGGAGAGAGGCACTGATGGAGCCCGCACCCCGGCCTGTGCCCCGACCGGGAATCGGCCCGACCCCCGGCCCGCAGGTGGGCGACGGGGAATCGGCCCGACCCCCGGCCCGCAGGTGGGCGACGGGGAATCAGACCCACGCCGGCCCGCAGGTGGGCGACGGGGAATCGGCCCGACCCCCGGCCGCAGGTGGGCG